TCACCCTAGCCATCTCAACAAGAACTCTATTCTTTCTCTCCACAACACCATTTTGCTGAGGTATAATAGGAGCAGAGAACTTATGCTTAATTCCCATCTCTTTACAAAATTTCAAAAATTGAGAATTCTCAAACTCAAAACCATGATCTGTTCTAATTCTAACAAGAGGCAGATGACTAGTCATCTTCTCTTTTTGCAAAAGATGACAAACAGACTTAAACCTTTGAAAAATTTTAGATTTCTCACGTAAGAATGAGACCCAAGTGAACCTAGAGAAATCATTAACTATGACAATAATATATTTCTTTCCACCAAGGGACAAGGTTTGGATAGGACCAACAAGGTCCATGTGAACAAGTTCTAGGCTTACTTTTGTTTGAATGTGTTTGACCTTCTTGTGGGACACTCTAACTTGCTTGCCCAATTGACATCCTTCACAAACATGCAAAGATTTGTCAAGCTTTGGTAGACCACTCACTAACTCTCTCTTGAACAATTTATGCAAGTCTCTAAAGTTCACATGTCCAAGTCTTTGATGCACACTTGTTTCATTCACAACCTTATTGCAAACTACTTATTTGCACCATTGACACCATCAATGCAATAGCAATTGTCCCTAGACCTTGCCACACTCACAATCTCATTGCCACCTTTTCCAATGGTTTTGCAGCCATGCTTGGAGAACCTAACTTCTACTACTCAATTATCACACAGCTGACTCACACTAATGACATTGGATGTGAGACCCTCAACAAATCTAACATTCTTAAGCTCGGGTAATCCAGGGATACAAACAGTACCTTTTCCAACAACTTGAGAATTGTGACCTCCACCAAGTTACAGTGCCTCCATCAAAAGGGCTGAGAGATGAGAAAACACTCTTATCACCAGACATATGTTTGGAACAACCACTATCAAAGTACCAAGAGTTGGTGTTTGAAGCAGCAAAAGCATTTAGCACAACAAGACTTTGGTATGACATCTTGCAATCCAAGTAGACTTAAGCACAATGGGTGAACTCATTTTAAAGGAGACAAGTTTGACAATCTTAGTTACTTCATTTAGCAAATGATCAACTTGATCTTGCAAAGATTTGGGATTCCTTTTAGATTTTGAAGACAATTTTCTGGTCTTATCTTTTTTGTACATATGACAGATTGGTCGGATATGACCAGTCAACCCACACCTGTGACAAGTTGGAACAAACTTAGGTTTCTCGATTACGTGTTGAACATCAAGAGGCACAATGGCTGGAGTTTTTGACTTGACAAACTTAGTGAATCCTGCTGCTGAACCTAAGTTTCTCGTATGACTAGTTGGATCCTGCTGCTGTTGTTGCTAAAGTAAATACTCAGCCGCTCTTGCCACAGAGGACTCAGATGCTTCTGTAGATTCTGATGAGTCTGCTGGTTCTCTAGTTTTTTTAGCTACAGTGATATTATAGGTGTAGGGGTTTTTTTCTTCTGGCAGCTACAAACGGACTGGGCTGCCGTAAAAGGCAGATGGATGAAATTGCCCCTTGAGCCTGAGTTCGAAGATCAAGCCCCAAGAATGCTTCGAAAAGACAAAGATGCCTTAGGAAACACCTTGGTTACCTTCACCAATGAAAATAACAACAGCTTACAGATGATTTCTTGATGCTTACAGATAAATTTTCTAGCTTGACATGAGAGGCTTGTGGCATGGAAGCAAAATCAACAATAAGTTTAGCACCAAAGAGGAAAATATGGCTTCCTAAGGAGAAAGGGGAGTGTTTAAGGTGAGGAAGAAGAGGTTTGCAAGCTGATATGGCTTCCGGCAGCTTGACAAAGCTTCTGATAGATGTGAAAGTGGTATGCAAGAAGAGGAAAATGAAGGAGGGTGAATAGTGCATGAGATTGCTTGGTTTTTGCAGGTGAGAGAGGAAGCTTGCTCTCTGAGTGTGGGTTTTCTTTGTTGGGTAGAAGATGCATCATTTTATAGTCGCTGGAAACCATCACTTCTCAAGAAACCCTAATGGCTTTTACCCATTTTGGCCAAGCTTTTCCCTTCCTTTCTCATCTCCTCCATTGACTTTTCCTATCTTGGTGAAATTTCCTCTGCCTATTTACACAAAATCAGATATTTTTGGGAACTCAAGGCCCCATTTCCCGCAGCTGTTTCAGTGGGAGACTTCCATTCCCATCCATCTCATTCCTTTCTTTCTTTCCTTTTTCCATGGCCAAGTCTGATGGGGGAAGGAATTGGGGTATGTATGCTGGTTCGAAGGGTGCTTCTCTTCCTGGCAGTTTGCACGTTAATATCCCTTGGTTCTTCGGGTGTTTTGTGCTTGGAAATTATTCTTTCCCATGTGTTGGAGCCTTCCAGCAGCTCTGCATATGTGGACATCTTGCTCCCTTCGTGGATTCTGTTTTTTCAACAAGGGGCTGATGCTTTTGCTGCTTCTCATTTCTAATTGTATGAGCCTTCTAAGATAATGGGTTGGTTTGTCAAAATAAATGGGCTAACCTCAACAAGTGTTGGACAATTTTTGTTGAGGTGTTGGGCTAATTTGGTTAAGCTAATGGGCTATTTCCTCTTTTGTGCTCACCCATATGTTTGAGTATAAGAAATTGGCTAGAGTCCTGAGGCTCCCAAGCAACCCGAGACTTCCATTTCTCGGCCCATCAATAGCCCTCGTGTCGATTTATTACCATCCATACCACAACCCACTCAAGCAAGCCCCGGGCATTTGAGAGGCTTGAGCCCACTTAGGCTTGTAGCGTGGTTGGGTGTGAAATAATGATTTCTCACTTGGCATGGCATGTCGCTTGACATGTTTTTCAATTATGATGCTTGACAGGATAACTAGCATGGGCTTGTAAAGTCGGTGCCTTTACAGGCCCATTTCAATTCTTAGTGTGCCAGATGACATTTATTTGGCGTGGCATGTGGTCGTGGCTTGTGCAAGCATGTATGACAAACTTTCGCGTGCCCAAATCGGATTTTTTATCGGCTAGGTATCGCATTGGGCCAAGAATATATTTGGGCCCAACCGTGAATTTTTTGGGCCTCCACAATAGGCAATGTCCTAGATAAGGGGAGTATTTTTGGACAAGTTGGGTGTATATTTTGTAATAACATTTTGGGGATCTTGTTTTTGCTTGGGTAGTCTGTGCATCTTGATAGGGGGAGTTGTGGTGTATTGTTTTGAACAAGTGATATTTGCTTTGTACTCAACCTATGCTATATGCTTTTAATTCCACTGTGTGCTGATTCTCTTTCTTTGCCTTTTTGCAGTTTCCTTATCAACAAGGGGGATAACACTCTCAGCCCCATATTGCATATTGTTTCAAAATTCTATGATATAATATGCTTGTTTTTGTGCCTAGGAGATTGGTTGTTCTTGCAGGTACCTTCACTTCATCATCTCCTTAGGTTTGGTTTTGGGTTGATTGTTTTTTAGAGAGTGAGTCGTCAAGGAAAGCCAAAAAAGGGGAGATTGTTAATGTATGCTTTTTTGAGTTTTTCTTTTGGCTTCCCTTGACAACTTTATAATAGAATTTTTATTGTCTTTTTATCAAGCTCTTAGATTAAGAAAAGCTTCTCTAGGTGTTCTTAACTAACATCTATCCTATGGAGGTTCAAGCAAATTGACAGAGGTAAATTGTGCTTTGCATAACATTGCATTAAACCGTTTTCATAAAATGATGACTAATCATTTGTTTCTCGTATGACTAGTCATCCTTGCTCTGTAGGATTTCCAACTAGATAACCAACTTTTTGTCCTATTCTCCTTTCTCTCTCTGCTGCCATGTGTCATTCTGACCTAAGGGAATTTTTGTCTGTAAAGGCTATGGAATTCATGTTTTGGTAGCCGTCTCTTTTGTGTGAAAGTTTTGGAAAGTATGGCTTGCTATCTTTCTCTTCTTCTTCCTCAAGAGAGAACCACAGATTTCATCTATGAGTTTTTCCAAATTGATTTCTTTTTGAAAAACTGCATTTGAAATACGAATTTGCATCTAGCTATTTAAAACACTCTCTCATTTATATGTAGGTCAGATTCAAGACTGATTTCTTCAAGAGTATGGTTTCGTGAAGAAATTGGTTATTCTCCTTTGAATCCAAATTTTGGTTTTTGTCTGAGTTGGAGCTTGCAACCAAGTGCCATGGGATGAAAGAGCTGGAGAAGGAAGCTGTCATTGCCATGAAGAACTGAGCTTCAAGCTTTGCTAAGTTGGAGAAGAAGATTTTACAAAGGAGGTATAGCTCATTTTCCTAAATAGATCTAGGTTTTTCTTGAGCTTGCTTGTGTTCCTTTATAAGAATCTTTTTCTACTTAGTGGATTGCCTTGTCGGTTGATGACGCCCAATTTTTCCCAATGGTGGGTTTCTGGGTGAACAATTTCTGATTTGCATCGTTGAAATTTTTCTGGGTTTGTGTTCTTGGTGGTTGACTAGTCATAATATGAATTCTATGTTTGTGTTCTTTGTAGTTAACTAATCATTTTATCTGTTTGGTGTTTACTTGATTATGATGATTTCACACACTTTCACCAAAGTTGTTGCTATCACAGGGGATGTCTAGATTGACGGGTCCTTCTGAGTGTCTAAGTTGTCACTAGTAATCTTCTAGGGTTGCAGGTACATTGTGGATGCTTTGTGTGTATTCTTGATTGTGGTTGTTCATGACTAGCAGTTGACTAGTCATAAGTGTTTTTGGTCAAGGTCAAGTGTGTGAAGGTTGTTGCGTCTTGTTTGTGTCGTAAAATTTACCCCTCGTCACCTAAGTACAAATTTCACACGTACACAACCATTAACCAATGTGTACAGAGAGTAGAAACACACACCACAAAAACTTCAACCCAAAGGATATGCTCACCTCATCTTAAGAGTTATTTCATTTGACTCCTTATATGCTTCAAGTGCCTTTTCTTGGAAAAAAAAATGTCTATGCAATAGTCAAGGACTGTTTCTCCTTGTGTCTCAACATTTCTAATGAGGAACACAATAAAAGAAAAAATAAATTAACTTGTGGAACTCTATACACCACCATTAATCAATGTCTACAAAGAGTAGAAACACACAACCGAAAAGTTCAACGAAAAGGATGCTAACCTCGTTCTAAGAAACATTTCATTCGACTCTTTATCTACTTCACTTGTCTTTTCTTGGAAAAAATTTCCAAGCAAGTTGAGCGCTATTTCTCCGTGTGTCTCAACATTTCTAATGAGGAATGTACCACCATTAATCAATGTCCACAAAGAGTAGAAACACATACCATAAAAATTTCAACGAAAAGGATGCTAACCTTGTTCTAAGAATCTTTTCATTTGACTCTTCATCCACTTCACGTGCCTTTTCTTGGAAAAGTTTCCCTGCAGAATACAATAGAATTCATAAACTCATTTAAAAAAAAGAAAGGAAATACTAATAAGGGTAGATATCATGAGCAAGTGAGATTCAATGTGGTGCAGGGCTTTCATATTTCTAAGCCATGCCTCCTTGTGCTGATCCACTTTAACTATGCCATGCCTCCTTGTGCTGATCCACTTTAACTATGCCATGCCTCCTTGAAAAAGGAATCCACTTCCCAAAATTTTCTTCTCCTCTAATCATGTACCCGATTCCTACTTCCGGTATGTTAAAATCAGCAGGGTTTCTGTTAATTGAGTAGACTGAAGATTTGGAAATGTTTAGAGGCTTCATGGTCCCATTACCATTGTTAGCTTCCAATTTGTGTAGCATTGGATACATATATATAATTCTGGTACATCATCAAAAACAAAGGGTTATCAAAACCAGAGGATTGTATATCAAAACCATTCTTAGCTTCCAATTTGTGTAGCACTGGATACTTGGCATGTTAAAATTCTAATAGGACTTTTAGATCTGCAAATCAAATAACATCGATTAAATCACCAAACCAGTTCTGGTTACAATTACGAATAAATTTCCTTTAAATTTCATGGATGTTTTTACGGCAGAGGATGATTTGTTAAAAAGAGACTTCTGATTCTAGAAGAAGAAAACTAAATCTAGAAAAATTTAATAATAAACGGGTGAAATTGGAACATATTTATCAAAAGGAACTCCCAATTTTCCAGATCTGGATCTAAACAACCATGATTATGAAACCCTAACAGCACAAGGTTATTGATAACATATATGTACAATTAAAAATGGAGTTGTACCTCTGGTAAATCATCGATACGATTTTGAAGACTGAATCAGACTCTCCAGTTCTAGCATCATCTTCCTCTTCATCTTGGCCTTCAGAAAACTCAGATGCCTTCACCATTTATCTCTCTCTCTCTCTCACACCCACACACAGAGGAACCCCCAGACTTAATAAAATATGAATTAGAACTGGAGACGGCAGAAGGTTTTTTTTTGTTGACACATACCACCTGACTGCTCTTTAGGTTATTTTTATAGATGAAATGAAACCATGTGTTGTTTTGTGTCTAGGAGGTTGGTTTTGAAAATACCATGGGATTTTTACTCTTTTTAGTCGGTGGAAAATAATATGGGATGTTTTTGGCTGGTGAAAATATTTGAACTACCAACCTCCTGGCTCCATTCTTGTGTCTTTATCTTTATTTTTACTTGTAATGTGGTTCATTTATGAGCAAATTAAAATTCCCTCAATTTTCGAAATTTCCTCAATTTTTGAAAATTTGTATTTAGAAATGTTTGGAGTGGAATTGATAAACTATAGATAGTATTTTAGAAATGTTGTTAACAATGGTTATACATAATTCGATAGTTTTCATGTGCTATTATAACGGTATGTAGAACCGCATAAATGATAACTGGTGGTACGTAGTAACCATGAAATAAAGTGGTGGTGGCGGCGGTAATGATATGTAGCATTAATGATACTAGTCGATTATGGAATGCATTAAACCCTAACTTTTCAGGTTTCCAGTAACAACTAAATATGTGCTAACGGGTTCATAGCTAAGTGATAAGAGTATTTGCTTGCATGTTAGTGGTCTCAGGTTCAAACCCTAACGAAAGGCGGACCCAGGAAATTTTATAAGGGTGGGCTAAATTTTTTTTTAATGGAAAATCCATTATATTACATTTCTTTTCTTCTTAAAAATAGGTTTACACAGTTAATTGGCTATAAGCTATAGATTTTCATTTTTTTTATATGCAAAGAAAATTAGTGGTAGCAACTATTCTTCAATTAACAATTTTTAAATTTTATTGGAGTACAAATAGAAGTACAGAGTGCAGTCATATAGATCTACAATTGCACAATCACAAACTACAACCATTCAACAAAACTAAGAGACAGCTGGACTATATAGAAGCAGAGATCAAGTAAATAGAATAAACTAGAAAAAGGACGAGTCATATATCAATAAAATCCAAAATTTAACATGTCCCAAACTCTAAATCATAAAAAACTAACAATAACAATTGAAATTGGAAATTAAACAAAAAGTAAGATAGAAACTTACTAATATTAAAGAAACCGTTGGATATAGGTTAATACAATTTTAAAGAGGAGGAGACCTACTACTTCTAAGCTCTCAAGTTCAAATATAAAGTTATAGCTTACATGGATGGGTAATAGAAAAACATGATGTTTGATGTGTGTGGGTTCCTCTACAGATGAAATCTTATGGTTGGGATAGACTAATATCAACAAAGAGGGGTGGACTATTAATGAGTGTTGCTAAATGAACCCTAAAATTAACTGACTACACCCTACTACGAAAGTATTTATTGAGTAATTAATTTACCCTAATATAAAATGACCAAAAAAGATATATTGAATTATGAAACAAATATAATTTTAATAAGTACACCCTACTCACCATATTCAACCCTAATGAAAGGCCTAAGCATGAACAATGTTTCTCTGATTCCAACCATTATGAGACTTGTAAGTGTTCAACAAAGTTTAGGGTACTAAGGAAGCATAAGAACCATGTTGGGAAACTTAATTAATGACATTCTGCTGGAAGACGAGAATAGCAGAAATCTGGTTGGATGGCTACTGAGGAAGCGAAAGAACCATGTTGGGAAACCTGTGGATAATGAAATAGGCTTGTGACCATAGAAAAAGCAAGAGCAAAACCAAGTTTGGGTGAATGCGGGGTTGTCGATAGGGCTCTTCTAAGCTGGATGATTGTGAGCTTCCTGAAAATTGTAACTCTATTAGTACATCCTTTTTTGGGGTCAAAACATCAAGAAAAGTTATTAAAGATGAATAAGACTGTTTACATCACTAGCCAAATATTAAGGACCCATGCTAGACCTGCTTCATCCGAGACATGATTACCACCCATCCTAGAAACATAGGCTGCCACCTCATGTGCAGCTCTATTGCAGTGTCGTGGTGTGAAAGAAAACACCACTTGGCTGAACTGTCGAGCTAAAACATGAATACCAAATAGAGTGTTGTGTGATAGAGTGTATTATGATGTACCAAGGGTATTTTGGTAGTAAAATAAGGTGTACTTAGTTAATTTTATATTTTGATTAAAATATTATGGTGCACTTAGATCATTATGTTTACTCAGTTAATTTTAAGGTTCGTTTATCAACACTCTTTTTAATTAACCTGGGTTTGACTTATAAAATTAATATTAATTTTTTTCACCTCCAAATTTAGCAGCCCCACTCTAGCCCATACATAATAGATTTGCCATGACAGCTCGCCATTCCCCCATCCAAACTTGACTGAAAAAAAAAAAAAAAAAAAAAAAAAAAAAACCAAATACTAGAATTACACGTAGGGTTTGTATGGGGGTACTTCTAGGAGGGCTAAAAGCGCTTTCTAATAATCATAAACACTTGTAACTATGTTTGGTAGAACAATTTAAAAGCACTAATGGATCATAAAAGCACTTATGGAGAAGCATCTGGTAGGTGCATTTTCAAGAACCACTTGGATTGTTAGCTAAAATTTCAATGATCTTCAAATAAAAGCGCGTATGAGAAGAAGTACTTATCTCTGTAGAAGAACTCCCAAAACGGTCATTTGAAAATAAACCTAACTTGTTATTTTCATGTTAATGTACCAGTCTTACATTTTTTATTAAAAAAAAATTTATTAAAAAAAAATTATTTCTAAATACAAGTAATAGTGTAAATTATTAATCTACTCTAGGGAATTCGAACTTGAATGCAAAGGGATACTACCATGGCACATAACCCATGTCTGCAATACCGTATTGACAAAAACATTTCTAGGAAAATCAACCGGAGACAACCCAAAGTACGTATCATCTATAACAAAGATGGAACCTATGAAAATAAGTAGCTCCAAGAATCAAAGTAAGTGGCATAATAGTCTTTATCAGCAACAAATTTTTTAAAACGTTTGAGCATGCTGCATATATATAATGCCAATCCCTAGCAATGAAAATTAGAAAATGAATATTTGGATAATTATGTTGAATTCAAAAGAAATATTATAGAAAGCCGTTGTAAATATTCTCTATATATTTATAATGAACTTCTCACAAATAATGTATAATTATTACAAAAATAAATACATAAAGATAGATATTGACAACTAGTAGCAAAAATCAGCTAAAGAATTGAGAAGGAAAAGAGAACATGAATTGTGACCAAGAGAGAAGCTAATTAATAAGATATGTTATACACTTCTACGATTACAACCTAAGCATTTTTTAAAAAAATAGAAACTTTCATATTGAGAAGGTCGACAATATATTAAACTCACATACACTACACGAATACTAGGACTCGAATCCAAAAGTTTTATTGGAAGAGCAACTACTCCAAACTACACTAGTGGCCATTTGAGCAAATTTATTGTTACCTATGTGGTTCAAATTCATAGTGGAACCAAAAATTTAAAATAAGCATGGATTTGTCAATATGAGTTTGGAAGATGACATTTATACCGACGAGTATAAATGATTTTCTCTTATTCATGCTATGTTATTGTTGACTTTTGTATTATATTTTAACTAATTTATTGTGATATTAGGTTCCCACAATAGTGGGATTAGGATTGTAACCCTACGTGTATATATATTCCTTATTGTGAGATGAATAACACACAACAATATTAGCCAAATAATATTGTTCTTCTTGACACCCGCTGCAGTACTGATCCTGGGCATTTGATTTGAACCAAAGGTGAGGAGAATGGAAATGATAAAACGTGACTATAAAGGTATTATGTTAAACGTGACAATGAAGGTATTATGTTCATGTAAGAGGAATATGATTAGTGCCACGATGGTGAAGATTGGCCATGGGATAATAACACTATTGCTAGCTTGGCACCGTGTCCAAGCAAGTCAAACACTATTCTCCTTGTGTCTTAATATTTATGATGAGGAACACAATAAAAGATAATAAAAAATTAAAGTGTTGTTAAACGAACTCTAAAATTAACTAAATACACTCTACTTAACTACCAAAAATATCCATGGTACACCCTATTTTCTTCCATATCGATATCTTTCTCCTTCATCCCATTAGGCAATTTCCAATCAAACCAGTAGAGAAGATTTGCAAGTCCAAGCTGTAGTGTTGTTATTTCCATGTACATCCCAGGACAATTCTTCCGACCAGCTCTAAATAATAAAACTCAAAATGTTGCCCTTTATAATCAATGGAGCTGCCATCAAACCTTTCTGGGATGAATTCTTCTGGGTCCTTCCCAGACTCAAGATCTCATGCAATTGCCCAGCCATTGACAAAGACAAGTGTTTTGTGGTCAATATCATAACCTTGGATTTTGAAATGAGACATGGTTTCTCCTGGAACAATCATTGGAGCTGGAGGATGCAATCTGGTCTCTTTGATTATCATCTTGAGGTATTAATTGAAGCTCATCTATATCTCGTTCACTGATTTTTCCTTTGTTTCCAATGCATCTTCTAACTTCTTCTAGGGCTTTCTTCATCAGTTTTCGGTTTCCTAGCTAGCTCTGCCACCGCCCTCGTCATTGTAGTTGCATTGGTATCTATTCCACGAAAAAATAAATTATGATTCACAAAAGTACCATGACATTTGTTTGCATCAATGAATTACTAAATAACGATGAACAAATAGTTGAAGTTAATACTAACGTTTTTCAATGTAGGATTTTTCCCTGACATTTTTCGTTGACGTTTGATTAGGGTGGTTAAGATGAACTTATTAAAATTACATTTGTTTCACAATTCAATATATCTTTTTTTGTTATTTTATATTAGGGTAAAATAGTAATTCAATAAATAGTTTGGTGGTAGAGTGTACTTAATTAATTTTAGGGTTCATTTAACAACACCCAAAAATTAACATTGTGGGACTCCGTGTACACCACCATTAAACAACGTATACAGAGAGTAGAAACACACACCACAAAAATTTCAACCCAAAGGATGCTCACCTCGTCTTAAGAGTCATTTCACTCAATTCCTTATCTGCTTCAAGTGCCTTTTCTTGGAAAAAAATGTCCATGCAATGGTCAAGCACTGTTTCTCCTTGTACCTCAACATATCTAATGTGGAAACAATAAATGAAAAAATTAATTAACATTGTGGAACTCTATACACCACCATTAATCAATGTCTACAAAGAGCAGAAGCACACAACACAAAACTTCAACGAAAAGGATGCTAACCTCGTTCTAAGAATCATTTCATTTGACTCCTTATCTACTTCACTTGTCTTTTCTTGGAAAAAAATTCCATGCAAGTTGAGCACTGTTTCTCCTTGTGTCTCAACATTTCTGATGAGGAACACAATAAAATAAATTAAAAATTAAAAATTTGAAACTGCATACACCACCATTAATTAATGTCCACAAAGAGCAGAAACACACACCATAAAAATTTCAACGAAAAGGATGCTAACCTTGTTCTAAGAATCATTTCATTTGACTCTTCATCCACTTCACGTGCCTTTTCTTGGAAAAGTTTTCCCTGCAGAATACAATAGAATTCATAAACTCATTTAAAAAAGGAAAGGCAATAATAAGGGTGATATCATGAGCAAGTGAGAACCTCGTCAAATTCAATGGGATGTACGTTTCCTTTTTGGTAGAGGGCTTTCATATTTCTCTGCCACTTGTGCTGATCCATTTTAACTAAGCCATGCCTCCTTGAAAAAGGAATCTGCTTCCCAAATTTTAGGTCTTCACTTCTAATCATGTACCCGTTTCCTACTTCTGGCATGTTAAAATCAGCAGGGTTTCTGTTAATGGAGCAGATTGAAGATTTGGAAATGTTTAGAGGCTTCATGGTCCCATTACCATTGTTGGCTTCCAATTTGTGTAGCATTGGATGCATAAATATAATTCTGGTACATCATCAAAACAAAAGGGTTATCAAAACCAGAGGATTATACATCAAACCATGAGCAAATATACTAGACATGCAAATATACTCAGACTTAAGGGTTTTGAAACAAATAATTATCAAACCATGAGCAAATATACTAGACCTGTTAAAATTCTAATAGAACTTTTAGATCTACAAATCAAATAACATCGATTGAATCACCAAACCAGTTACAATAACGAATCATTTCCTTTAAATGTAGTGGATATTTTTACGGCTTAGGATGATTTGTTAAAAGGAGACTTCAGATTCTATAAGAAGAAAACTAAATCTAGAAAAATTTAATGATAAACGGGTGAAATTGGAACATATTTATCAAAAGGAGCTCCCAATTTTCCAGATCTGGATCTAAACAATCATGATTATGAAACCCTAACAGCACAAGGTTATTGATAACATATATATGTAATTAAAATGGAGTTGTACCTCTGGTAAATCATCGATGCGATTTTGAAGACTGGATCAGACTCTCCAGTTCTAGAATCATCTTCCTCTTCATCTTCAGAAAACTCAGATGTCTTCACCATTTCTCTCTCTCTCTCTCTCTCTCTCTCTCTCACACACACACACACACACACAGAGGAACCCCCAAACTTAATAAAATATGAATTAGAACTGGAGACGGCAGAAGGGTTTTTTTTGTTGACACATACCACCTGACTGCTCTTTAGGTTATTTTTATAGATGAAAGGAAACCATGGGCTGTTTTGTGTCTACGAGGGTGGTTTTGAAAATACCACGGGCTTTTTACTCTTTTTAGTCTGTGAAAACTACCATGGGATGTTCATGGGATGTTTCTGGCCAGTGAAAATATTTGAACTACAGACCTCTTGGCTCCATCCTCGTGTCTTCGTCTTTATCTTTATACTTATAATGTGGTTCATTAATAAACAAATTAAAATTCTCTCAATTTCCGAAAATTTGTGTTTAAAAATGTTTGGAGTGGAACTAATAAACTGTAGCTTGTATTTTAGAAATTGAAATTGGTACTTAAGTGACGAGGGGTAAATTTAAAAGATATTCAACCAAGAACGCAGCATACTTCACACACTCTAGACCTTGACCAAATACTCATACTCTTATGACTAGTCAACTGTCAGATATGAATTATGCCAAACAATAACATACACAGAGCATACCAAGATGAACCTACAAGCCTAGAGAATTACTAGTGACAACCTAGGCACTTGGAATGACCTGTCAATCTAGGCATCCTTTGCTAGCAACAACTTTGGTGAAAGTGTGTGAAGACAGCATAATCAAGCAAACACCAAACAGTAGAAAACGATGACTAGTCAACCGCACAAACCCAGATGACTAGTCAACTATCAAGAACACAAACCCAGAAAATTTACAGAAATGGAAACCAGAAACTATTCACCCAGAAACCCACCATTGGGAAAAACTGTGGGTCATCAACCGACCAGGCAATCCACTAAGTAGAAAAAGATTCTTACAAAGGAACACAAGCAAGCTCAATAAAAACCTAGATCTATTTAGGAAGATGAGCTATACCTCCTTTGTGCAATCTTCTTCTCCAACTTAGCAAAGCTTGAAGCTCAGTTCTTCATGGCAATGGCAGCTCCTTCTCCAGCTCGTTCATCCCATGGCACTAGCTTGCAAGCTCCAACACAAACCGAAACCAAAATTTGGATTCAAAGGAGAATGACCAATTTCTTCAAAAAACCATACTCTTGAAGAAATCCGTCTTGAATATGACCTAGATATAAATGAGAGAATGATTTAAGTAGCTAGATGCAGATTCGTGTTTCAAATGCAGTTTTTCAAAAAAAAATCAATTGGAAAAACTCATATATGAAAATAAGATGGTTCTCTCGAGGAAGAAGAAGCGAAAGATGGCAAGCCAAACTTTCCAAACTTCCACCTAAAAGAGACAGTCGCCAAATGAGCAAATCCGTAGCCTTTATAGACCAAAAAATTCCTTAGGTCAGAAACCCACATGGCAGCAGAGAGAGAGAGAAAGAAGAATATGACAAAATAGTTTGTTATCCAGCTGGAAATCCTACAGAGCAAGGATGACTAGTCATATGAGAAACGGATGACTAGTCATCATTTTATGAAGACTGTTTAATGTAATGATATGCAATGCACAATACCTTTGTCAACTTGCTTGAACCTCCATAGAGCAGAAATTAGAGAAGAACACCAAGAAAAGTTTTTCTTAATTTAAACTTGAGCTTGATAAATAACAATACAAATCCTATTACAAAGTTCTCAAGGGAAGCCAAAAGAAAATTACAAAACCATACATTCACATAAATGTTGTTAACAATGGTTATACATAATTTGATAGTTTTCATGTGCTATTATAACCGTACGTAGAACCACATAAATGATAACTGGTGATACGTAGTTAACCATGCATGAAAGTGGTGGTGGCGGTGGTAATGATTTGTAGCATTGATGACACTAGTCAATTATGGCATGCATTTAAACCCTAATTTTTCAAGTAACCAATAACAACCAAATATGCGCCAATGGGTTCATAGCTCAGTGGTAAGAGTATTTGCTTGTATGTTAGTGGTCTTAGGTTCGAACATTAATGACACCTCGCCATCCCCCATCCAAAACTTTGACTGAAAAAAAAAATTAACAACCAAATATGCTATAGTTACATGTAGTGTTTGTGTGGGAGTATTTCTGGGAGGGCTAAAGGCGCTTTTTGACAACTAGAAACACTTATAACTGTGTTTGGTAGAACAATTTAAAAGTGCTAATGGATCATAAAAGCACTTTATGGAGAAGCACCTGGTAGGTGCATTTTCAAGAAGCACTTCGATTTTTAGCTAAAATGTCGATGATCTTCCAATAAAAGCGTGTATGAGAATAAGTTCTTTCTGTAGAAGCACTCACAAATCAGTCCTTAGAAAATGAAACCTAACTTGTTATTTTCATGTTAAGTAATACCAATCTTACTTTTTTTTAAAATAAAAAAATTATTTCTAAATACAAGTAATAGTCTAAACTATTAATCTACTTTAGGGGGATTCGAAATTGAGTGCAAAGGGGCACTACCTTGGTACCTAACCCACGTCTGCAATACCCTATTACGAGAAGAAGAGGTTGGTTGTATATTTCTTGATTCATTTGATTTGATTTGCAAAGGAAAGACCTGATGGCTTGAATTCTACTAAGCGGCCAATTTAAGACATCCGTGCTCTCTCAATAAATAAATGTTATCATCACTAGTATATAAAAAAATCCTTGCGCCACCAAATTTTGCGTGACGAAAAAATATTCGTCTCTCAAAGTCACTTTGCGCGACGAAACTTAAAACTTCGTTGCTCAAAGTCTTGCGCGACCAAATTTTGCACGACGAAAAATAATTCGTTGCCCAAAGTCACTTTGCGCGACAAACTTTTGGGCGACAACAATACATCGTCGCTCAAAGTGACTTTGCGCGATGAAACAATAAACTTCGTTGCACAAAGTCTTGAGCGACAAAGTGTGTTTCGTCGCGCAAAGTCTTTACAAAAATAAATAAAATAAAAATATTATTTTTAAACGGGCAACCGAGGGGTCAAACTACCCAAACTTAGTAAATTGGGCCCGTGGGGCCCACAACCTCTGATTTCAGATCTGGAAGTTCCTACATATTCACCAATGTTTCACTTGAAAATTTAGATGAAGATTTACCAAATGAATATGAACAACCAATTCAATTGGAAGAATTAGTAGTAAATGAGAATGATGTGAATGAAGAAATTGGTGATCTATATGAAAATGAAAATATTGATGAACCATTCCTTGATGAAAATGAAAATATTGATGAACCTTACCATGAAAATGAATGTCCCGATACAAGATTTGATTTGAACATTTATGATCCAAGAGTTTGGGATAATCTTGATGCAAAAATGAGAGATTTACTTGTAGAAAAAGGTCCTATAAGAGAAACTAATCTCAAATTCCCCATGGACGAACACAATGGACATTTTCCTTCAAATTATTATCATCATACGTTACCAAATGGGGAAACTAAGGATCGCAAATGGCTAGTGTACTCAAAGGAGTTGGATAAAGTGTTTTGTTTTTGTTGTAAGTTGTTTGAAACAATGAATTCTAAAAGTCAGTTAATGAGTGAAGGAACTAGAGATTGGAAACATCTTGGTGAGAAGCTTAAACAACATGAAAGCAGTATTGAACACCTCACTAACTTGAGGTCTTGCATTGAATTGCAAATCAGATTGAAAACAAATCAAACAATTAATAAAGAATTACAAGAGATAATTAAGAAAGATACACTACAATGGAAAAATGTTATTGTTAGAATCATCGCTGTTGTGAAATGTCTTGATATACATAATTTGGCTTTTCGTGGAACAAATGAAAAATTTATGAAGATGGTAATGGTAAAGTTTTAGGCCTACTTGAAATGATTACAGAGTTTCATCCAGTAATGCAACACCATTTTCAACGCATTCAAGATAAGAAGATTCATTATCATTATCTTAGCCATAAAATTCAAAATGAGTTGATAGCTATTTTAGCATCAAATGTTAAACATGCAATCATTGAAAAAATAAAAATGGCTAAGTATTTTCCAGTCATTCTTAATATTGAGGTGCGTAGATGTTTCAAGTTGTTAATGTATGGTTTTTACTAATTTCTTTTGGCTTCCCTTGACAACTTTGTAATAGGATGTGTAATGTAATTTATCAAGCTCAAGTCTAGATTAGGGAAAACTTTTATTGGTGCTCTTCTCTATTCTCTGCTCTATGGTGGCTCAAGCAAGTTGACAAAGGTATTGAGCATTGCATATCATTACATAAAATGTTTTCATAAAAAGATGACTAGTCAACCGTTTCTCATATGACTAGTCATCCTTGCCTCCAGCTGGATAACAAACTGTTTTGTCCTATTCTTCTTTCTCTCTCTCTGCTGCCAAGTGGGTTTTTCTGACCTAACGAATTTGTTGGTCTGTATAGCCCACGATATTTCTCATTTGGCATTGTCTCTTTTCGGGTGGAAGTTTTGGAAAGTTTGGCTTGCCATCTTTCGCTTCTTCTTCCACAAGAGTACCATCTTTTCATCTATGAGTTTTTCCAATTGATTTCCTTTTGAAAAACTGCATTTGAAACACAAATCTGCATCTAGCTATTTAAATCATTCTATCATTTATATCTAGGTCAGATTCAAGATTGATTTCTTCAAGAGTATGGTTTCTTGAAGAAATTGATCTTTCTCCTTTGAATCCAAATTGGTTTCGGTTTGTGTTGGAGCTTGCAAGCTAGTGCCATGGGATGAACGAGCTGGAGAAGGAGCTGCCATTGCCATGAAGGACTGAGCTTCAAGCTTTGCTAAGTTGGAGAAGAAGATTGCACAAAGGAGGTATTGCTCATATTCCTAAATAGACCTAGGTGCTTCTTGAGCTTGGTTGTGTTTCCTTTGTAAGAATCTTTTTCTACTTAGTGGATTGCCTGGTCGGTTGATGACTCCCAGTTTTTCCCAATGGTGGGTTTCTGGGTGAACAAAATCTGTTTTGCATATCTGTAATTTTTCTGGG